GAGGCGCAGTGATCTTCAGATCCGGCACAGTACTCCTCTCAGATGGGGGAAGGGAAGGGCTCTGAAATGGAGGGCTGCTGCGTCGGTTGGCGGCAAGGCACTACTGCAGTGTCTCCTCTGCGGATGCTACGGAGTCGTGGCCGTATGCCGTGTTGCAGGGGTCCGCCTTATCCTTGAAGGACTTGATGCACCTTGCTGTGGGCTCGAAGAATCCGAGGCGGGGGCTTGTTTTAAGTTTCATGTTCCGGCCTTGGTCCAGGGCACCAGGTGCCACCGCAACTACCGCAGCCCGTCGAACTGGCGCAAGCTGCATCTTGCGAGACGTCTGCGCAGCCTCCACACATATTTTTCGCAAGGCCATTGCCGCGGTAGCAGCAGAAGCCCTGGACATTCGACACAGCACTGACCGAGGTGACCTTGCTCTCCACCTTTGGCGCCTTCTTGGTGACGCCGCGCTTGCACCACTCTCCATTGCAGGATGCGCAGTTCTTCGCCGACTTCCCGCAGTAGCTGTCGCTTTTGGCAGTGCCAGTCTCAAAGGCTGTGCCACACTTGTCGTTGGGATCTGCAGCTCCCATGACGCACTTCGGCTCGCACCACGAGCCACCACAGGAGCCACACGTGCTCTTCCTGGCACAGTTATTCCTGAAAGAAGCCACGGCCGTCGGGAAGCAGGTTCCACAAACATTGTTCGGATCGTCGGCGGAGAAGCAGCACGAGCCACCCTGCTTCTCTTCCCAGGCTTCCTGCGTCATGTTGCCCCAGTCGTAGTCTGCCTCCACCACTGGTGCTTTTGGCTTCTTCGGCGTCACAGGCTCCTCGACGCTGTCGATGCCTGCCGGTTCAGTAAAGGGATCCGCCTGGTGCGCAGAAACCGAGGCGAGGGTCTGCTCACCCCGTAGCTGGCGCAGCGAAAGGGAACACTCGGAGTCCTCGCAGTCTTCCGGGAGATCTGACAGCTCAGATGCTGCCACAAACAACAGGGCGAAGGCCAGTGCAGCTCGCACCATGTTCCTTTTAGCGCTTTGAAACAAGAGAAGCAGAAGAGTACAAGAGATCTTTGAACCGATACGTCAAGCCATGCTCGACATCTTGATGCTTTTGCTTTGGGTATTTGCAGACACCACGTGTCCAGACACAGCGTGCTGCAAAGGCGAGGACCGGAGTGTCGGGCATGCCGGGATGTAGCACCGCCTCTTGGCATGATGCAATGCTTGTACTGACAAGCAGTGTAGTACTCTAACAATGGCAAGCACAGTACGACCTACTACTTTACGACTACCAATAAGAGTCATAGCACTGTGCTAACAAACATAAAGATACTCATCCTGAAGTGCTGGCAACGATTCTCGTGACAGCAAAGACCGCAGAATCAGGACATTGAAGCTTAAACGTGGCCGAGAAGGTAATGACTCTAGTGATGATTACCAGCAGTGGAGGATTTCGTAAGGCAGTACCGTAACGTTGATGATGCGGATCCTGGTAATGACGCCAGTGATGGCGATGATGATGACGGTGACGGTGACAACATGATGCATACAAGGGTGGTGATGCCAAATGAGAGGTTGATGAGATGACGATGAGGATGACTATGACGATGGTGATCACAACAACCATACAAACATCACAACCATCGCCATAGCCATAGCCATTAGCGACCGCCTCACCACGGCAGCAGTTCTCTGCAGCATCGTCACGACTGCTACACTTCTACCTGACGGTCAATCACAGGCCGGGCCCACGTGAAGCCGGGACCCATCGCCAGTCGGAGACAGGTCTGTCGACATTTCTCAAAAGAGGGCGACGCTTCCAAAGAGAACAGCAGACCTCGGAAGACTATGTGGCCGAGGAGGGTCATCTCAACCTGGCAGCAGCGTTGCAGGGGAGCTTGATGCGGCTGCGAATCAAATCAGAGCGGCGCAATCGATCTGTATGGCACCATGCAACATCTTTCAGTGGTATGGTCTGGCCCTCACCGCCCTGTGCCAACGACGGAGCCTTAACTCCTCGCTGGGTCTTGCTGCCCAAGTCTAGCTCCTTCTCTGTCATCTCGTCCTGTCAAAATCAGTGATGACTGCGCGACTGGCTTGGTGGCAGCTTGAAGCTTGCTCAGATTTGGGGATCTACTGCTTATATAAGGACTGCAACAGCAGCACCCGCACCCTGCCGCTTCTACTAGGATCCCAAGGTCACTCCTCCAAAATTTGAAGGCGCTCCTCTTCGATATAGTACCTCCGACTGCTTGAAATCTCCCGTGATTGGGTGGCGCAGTATGGAAACTGGGCAGAGTAATCAACTCTGCTGCACTTCCAGCCAAACAAGAACCTTCAGTTGCTCTGAGGATTAGGGCAATGTTGGGACTGGGAAGCTGGGTCTTGCAGGAGGGAAGCTGCCCCCTCAAAAGACCAAAGGCCCATGCGGTAGTGGCAGCGACACGACTTGACAAGCTGCCGAAAAAAGTCTTGCAACTGCCTACGACCGAGTTGAGAGAGAACGACATGCCCCTGCAACAACAAAGGACCAGTCACAAGCAGCAGTTCATACACATGTCGTCTCATCTCCAACTTGCAAATACCACAATGTCGTCCTGCCAAGAAGTTTCACAAATACAGCGATCGCATGGCACCACGCAGCACGTGCTTGGTTACATCGCACAATCACATGCCTGATGCTTCAAACCCGGAGCATGATAATCGAATAGCTACGCTTGGTGTGGCCCACGACTTCTAGCGCCGCCAAGGCATTCATTCAGGACTGCTGCAGAGCCCTGTCTTGAAACAATCTTGGATGTATGATATATTGTGACAGCGGGTTTTTTTGAGTCCTCCTTTGATAAGTTGTGACAAATATCAACTCTATGGCTACGCATATGCATCGAAACCCTACCTGCTCTGTCGCTCCAAATTCGACCCTTTCAGACCTGCCGCATCTTCTTGCGAGCAGCCTCATGCTGCAAATGCTCTAGAGTCTAGCCGCCAAGATCTTGCATCCTTGCAGCTGTAAACTAAAAGACTTGATGCAGCTCCTGTACATAGAGCAGCAGTAGGCATGCTGCCGTCGCTCGATCGCAAAGTCGGTCGAAACCCGCCCAGGCAAAAGGTCGAATTTAAAAGCGGAAAACCCGGCAGAGCGCATCAGTCACTGTCGCTGATCTCCTAAGGAGGGTACGCGGTCAAAAACTCCGATTGTGAGCAAGCACATGCCCCGACCTGCTTGACGGCACTCTCCGATATCACAATCTGTACATATGGGTATGTGTATATATCTATATCTATATCTATATCTAGATCTATATCTATATCTATATTTGGACTTTGGATGCACTCAGTGGTATACGCGGCTTAATTGGATGCAGTCGGAGCTCTAAAGCGAGCAAGGGGCCTGCTAATGGGACTTCGCCAAAAGCTCTCATCGGCCCACAAGGAAGGTTCGTGCCCCTGTATGGCCGAAAGCCAGGTTGCTTGCAAAATGGCAGGCACAAACTTCCACAGCCTTGATTCCACGGCTGAGACACAGATCTTGCTACTGCACTCGCGCCACTCAGCTTCCCATGCGCTGTGCAGGCTAAAGCAAGGACCTTTAGGGGTCCCGTGGATCGGGGCTGTCGGGACGAGTTTGTCCCAATCATACCCACTTGGCCCGTCTGCACAACCTCCATAGGTGTCCGAAGACTCAGTAGAGGTCGCAACAGTCTCTGGCACAAGACTTGCGAGTCTCGTAATCTCGCCCAGTGCCGTCGCCCACAATCTCGTCCTTGGTGTCCCGAATCTCCGTCGCCAGCCTGGAAAGGAGGCCCTCGATCTCCTCCTGGTAGAGGGGGAAGCCGTAGACGATCGTCTGCAGGGCCTCCTGGATCTCCTCCTCCGACTGTGGAAAGTTGCGGTCCAGTAGGGTGTCCGAGAGTGCCTCGTAGGCCTTGGCGACTGTGTCGGGTGTCATGGGGATGTCCGTGGGGGCAAGCGGTTCTCGGACGACGGTCGGGACAGCCAGCTTGTCCATCTCCTGGGCACTCTGCCTCCACAGTCTGCTGCCGATCCCGGGGCGGATAGCTTCGGTGCGGTAGCCGCAGGCCCTGAGCTTTTTCGCACAGTACGGCGTGTCCCGAAGGTGCACCAGGAGGCGGTTCTCCCCGTACTAGTCGCGACCGCAAGCCAGGCAGGTAGTCCCCGTAAGGAGGCCTCGATGTCCGGCTACACGATGATGGACTTTGAAAAAGTGGGCTCCCAAACCCGCTCGTGTTTTGAACCCCTTCGTACACATTCGGCATGTCCAGCTCGTCGCCTGTGCTTCTCCCGGGGCGGTAGTTTCGACCGCCTTCCGGTAGAGGGCCCATAGGGTGAGTTGGCATCGGTGCTCCTCGATGTACTCACCAGTCAAGGCCACCCACTCCGGCCATCCTGCCTCACAGCACAGAGGCCACTTGTTGGGCTCTTTAGCTGTGAGCCACTGGAGGTCCAGTCGTACCGCCTCATACCAAGTTTGTTCGCTCTGCAACACCGCCCAGAGCGGTTGCGGGGCCGCCCTGGCCATGGAGCACAGCAGGCTGAGTCTGGCCCTCTTGAGCAAAATTTCGAGCGGGGGAGTGCCTGTGGCGAGGTATACCGCTGGTAGCGGGATGTGGAAGGCGATGTCGCCACCCCAGTCTTTGACTAGGAGTCGCCGGAGAAGGCGTGTGTATCCTCTGCTCAAGATGTCCCACGCCTTGGGCTCGCCTGACCACAGTCCCAAGTTGAAGTAGACCGGGTCAATGGTGGCTTGAAAGAGCTTGATCCGGGTCTTGATGGGGATACGCTGGTTGCCGAAGAAGAGCTTGCGACCCGCGTCGTACGCAGAGCCAGCGATCGCCGTTCGGCGTCTGGCCTCTACAACGAGGCGTGGCTCGCTGTCGACGATCCCTCCAAGATGTCGGTATTGATTTGCGGTCGGGACCGCGACGCCGATGTCCGGTAGGTCGAGCTTCTTGCCATTGTTGGGGAAGTGGTGGGCCCGGGTCTTGTAAGATCCTCGGCCTCGAAGTGTCAGCATCACTGCTGACTTGCAGGGTCGGAGGTTCGGTCGCAGCCCGTGCTGCCAGCAGAAAGTGATCACCAAAGTACTGAGGCGAGTGACCTTCTGAACCAAAGCCTCCGACGTGTCTGCTGATAATGGCCACGCTGAGTCGTCAGCCCAAGTGGCGTCAGCAGCAGTTACCGGAGGGCCGCTGTCGCGGCTGGCAAAGGGCCCCGACTCCGGGTCATGTGGCAATTCATCAAGGAGCTGCTCAGCTGAAGCATGTTCGGTCACACGGGCCAGGAATCTGGAGTAGACCCATCCAAAGACGATGTCAGACCATGACTCGCCTGGTCTTGACCCGGCGGCTGTCTGGGTGACCTTGTCCCCACTCGTGCAAGCTGCGTGGGGATTTGGTCTTGATGATGTTCTCTGTCGCTCACCCCACAAAGAGCTATATTGAATGATGGCGTGGTTGCCCTCTACAGACTGGATCACTGTTACTTCCACTTCCACACGCACACTCCTACGCAGGCAGATCCAGAGCTCGTTTGTTTTGCACCCTCGCGGCCGGCGATGGATCGTCTGTGCACGGGATGGCTCTATCCTCTCGGGTAGTCGCAGTAGACTATAGCACTTTAGCTATGGGCAATGCTTTCTTGAGCTTGTGCTCATTCTTGAGCCAATGTTGCATGGGCGGTCATACTGAAAGGTTGGATAGGCATTGCGGTGTGCGTAGCACTTCCACAAGCCTACTCCTAGAGACGAGGGACGCGTAGCGTGCCCCCTTCCCTTGCGCTTTACACGGTCTTGCTCACAGCTCTTATAGTGACACCTTAGAACTTGACAAGGCATCGCAGTCCGTTCGCACCCCCCATGAGTTGCGTCTCCGACGCTGCTCACCCGGAAGATGGCACGATAGGAATATCAGAAAATTGTTCCGCCGCAACTTTGACATATGGACCAGAGCCTTTGCATCCCAATTAGAAACGTTGTGACACTCATCTACGTCGGTAGCGATCCCCTGAAATGACAAACGAAACAGGCGTCACCGAAGAAAGAAGCACTCGCGATGGAATTCCACGTGCGAAACGCAGAGGTCACAATCTGGAAGACGGGGTAGATCAGGCGTTGTCTCGCCACCATCTTCGCGTTGACGTAGGATCGCGTTCCCAGGGCCGGAGGTTGTCCTCTGGATACTGGCTCTTCTGCTTTCCTTTGTCCTTGCCTTTGTTTCGGCCTTTACTGGCGATGTAGTCATGGTAGGAATTGGTGTTCCAATCTCCATGCTGACCACCTCCAGTTCTTCCATGCCCTTTCGAAGGTCCCTTTGCCGAAGAAGCGCTTGCACGTTCCTCCGTAGTGACGGGCGTGTCCATGATGGAAGTACCACCAGGAGGGAGATATTCTTCGGCTGAAATGTGATGTAGTGCTTCAGGACGTCGAACCTTCGGATGTTGCTCTCTCTCAACTCTGGATTTAACCAACTTGTCCAAGAAGTGTGCTGGCATTTGCACGTTGTGGTCCACCAGCAGTCCAATGGTCTGGACGGAATAATCTGCATGAGTCAAGAGGATGCCGACCGGGTCGATGTACAGAAAGTCCACCGGTCCAGTTGGCGTATTTCGTAGTACCGAAAATTGTTGATGTCCTGTCACCATCGGGATAACTTCGCATAGGACGTTTAGGCAACAAAAGTGCATTGCCTTCACGTCTTCATCCTTGTTACTCTTCAGGTACGTGGATGGGTTGAAGTTGTCCCTGCCGATCCCCATCATGTTGGCTCCCCGTGTCAACAGTGCGAGCATCTGGTTCGTCCGGAAGCGCTTCAGAGTGTAAGTCCCGTTGGGATCATACGACTTGATGTTCTCGGGCTCCTTGGCAAAGCGAAGGATCTCCTCATCAGTCACATCCCTACTCACACCTGTTTCTGGATCCACTCCAGCCAAAGTTCCCCACTTGCCGAGCACATCATAGCGTTGGCCATTCGTGAAGTTCTCTCTCATCTGGAACAACGGCACGGTCGCCCACTTCGCGAATCCTGACCAAGCTTTGTAGATGGTTCTGCATACCACGAATGCCATGTACGAAAGAGCAGCCATGTTGGCGTCGATGCAATGGGCGTTTCGTTTTCCGTGATAGTAGGGCGGCTGCATGGCGGTGCGGGCGATCTGCAGTTCAGGGTCGATGTTCAAAGACTGGCCGGCGATGAGGACGGGACGTCGTTCCTGTGCAACTGCATCTGGTACTTCGTCATCAAAGTCCGCTCCTGGCTCCGTGTCCATTTCTTCATCAGGTTCCTGTTCTGGATCGTCATCCCCAACGACAGATGGTTCTGGAATCCCTTCAGGTTCCGCAACCGATTCTGTTTCCATGGCTTCCTGTTCCTCGACGGTTGCCTCAGGTACTGCTGCTGCTGCAGCTTCCATTGTCTGAGCAATGAACTCACTTGGGATCTCCGTGGGAGTCTCCCGTTGTGGAGTACCTTGGTAGTAACCGCAAGAAACGAAT